TCCCTCCACCCGTACAGCCTGAACCAGAGCCATTGGAACAAGCTGTGGAGGTGGAGCATCAACAAGAAGTTGTACAAACGACCGAGCCCGGGTCCATCCCAGAAGAGATAGAGCAAGACTCTAATCTCACACGCAATGGTACCGGTGACGGGAAATCGCCAGACGCTACGAATACCACGACTGCCAGCCATTCAAGACCACCAGCGAAACCCTCTCCAGCTGCGGCGTCAGAGACTCCAGAACGGAAAATAAAACCTACAACTGCATCGCCAGCCAACACGGGCAAGGTGCCATACCGTGTCGGGCTGAGCAAACGAGCGAGGATCGCTCCTCTCTTGCGCATTGTGAAGAAATGATGAAGCACAACATACTTCTGCTTCTGCGTCCGCATCGTGATCCATGATACTATACCTCTTATCCAGACATGTACTTGAACTTAATGATACCCACTTTTACTCGGCCTTGCCGTCAATTTCCACCTCTTCGTAACATCGTATACAAGGACCAGCTGAAGTTTTTCTAGTGGCGCTTCTGCCTTAGCCGAACCACAGCTGAGCAACTAAGAGATGCAGCTATCCAAAGTCACTACCGTGGAGCTAAAGTGAACAGCGCAGCCGCTTAGCCGCTTCCTCGCAGCGGCAGATCTGTATAAGACAATCAGCTGCTCTACACTGTACTTACTGGTCACGTTGCCTTAGCGAACTCTCCAAACGTTTTACATCGCATTGCACATGCGATTTGTTTGCCGGTGGTTCATTGCCGCGCGCGGCATTATCGATTATTGAGAGCGGACGCCAGCGCTCGCTTCGAGCTTGGCAGTGGAAATGAAGGCCCTCAGGGGCCTCCTAGCATCGAATCGCGACCAGCGGACGACCACCGGGGCGTTCCCAATCCTGCTCTCCTGAGCTTGGCATTCAGGCGTTCGTCTTAGGGCTGGACGAAATGCGATTCGAAGTCTCGTCGTACGAACGGCGTGCATGACGATGTACCGTTACTGGTGCGCTGTCGCTTATTCCCAATACCACGGCACGAGGTATCGCAACGGCCGTTGACAACACTGACATCGCTGACAGCACGAATCACGAGCAAAGTACTTTCAGACTGACAGTGATAGACATCTCATCGAATTTGCGAGTGATATCCTACGGTCACCGATCATACCAGCAGCGAAGGCCTCAATAGAGCCCTCCAATTTCGAAGCTCTCTGATGGGTGCCGCGTACCGAGAGAGCCGAAAGCAAACGGCCTCTGATTCCTACGCGAGACGCCATTGAACGCCACATCAAGCCAACAACGTGAAAAGCACGATGTTTTGGTGATGCCAAGTACTCCTCTAGCCTGTTGTTGAGTTGTGCCCCGCCGGCGATCATCCCACTTCAGTATATCCGCGACGGGAGCCGGTCAGAACCAGCATCGCGGCTCATATATTTAGACCCCAGCGGTTTGATGGCTTGGCCTCGTCAGGAACAGGACAGGTTCGGGCTCTGTTATCCCTCTTCGAGATTGACATGTCCCTAGGATTTGGAAGCTGTTAAGCCTCCAGATCTGCCAGGCTACCAAGACATACCATCACATTGGGGACGCAAGATCATGTTGTAGCATTTGGTGGTGGCTTGTACTAGGCGCCTTCGCAGTTGTCTCAGTACCATGCCGTCTCCACACTCTCTTCGTATCCCACGAAGGTTTCCCAGGGCCGCGCTCTTGGCTGCTGATAATAGTGTGCTGACTTCTTCCAGTTAGTGGGCTCCACTCCTCGTAGCTACGCCGCCACGAGTCGCCCTTGGAGGTGCGTCTATGGCATTGTGTGATATAAGTACATCGGGCTTCTTCTCCTTACGCTCTTCACTCGTCTTGCTCGTCTTTGCACGCATAGCGACCGTCACTCGTTTTTTCTTATCGACTAATTCTAATTGACGTTACTGTCAACCACACTCGCTTTCACTATTACAACCGAAGTCGATTACAACTATTATACTAGTGCTGTAAACATTAATTCGCCAAGATGCGTTTCTCCCAAGTCGCTGCTGCCTCTTTGGTAGCACCACTCGTCGCCGCTCATGGCATGGAGGGTATGCCAAGGATCGTTGGTTTGCCCAGGCAGTTGAGGGCCAGCAACCCTCTTGCTGGCTACTCAGGCGGTCATGCTGCTGAGGCAGGACCCGTCATTCGTCCCCGCCAGTCCACCGATGGACGTTGTGGTCCGGATGGCGGCAACCAGAACTGTGCGGACAACGAGTGCTGCTCAAGCGCCGTACGTATACTGGATGAGACACTTCGTATGTTAAGCGTGGACTTACAGAAGAACAGGGATACTGCGGTACCACCCAGGAACACTGCCAAGCGCCCGACTGCTTGTTCAACTTCGGTCCAGCATGCGGTATGTCAAATTCTATACCCTGCACGATGGACCTGTTACTAATGTTATGAAAGACGCCAACAAGACTCCTGCTGGAGCAAGCACCCGTAACGACCCCCGCCCCCAGCTTGGAAGCATCCCCTACGGCGGTGAAGGCATCTACGTCTGCAACAACCCTGGAACCGTGGCAATCACATACGACGATGGTCCATACATCTACACCGAGGGCGTTATGAAGCTGTTCGAGGCACGAGGAGCGCACGCCACCTTTTTCATCACCGGTAACAACATTGGCAAGGGCGCCATTGACGAGAACTGGGCGGGTGTCATCAAGAAGATGTATGACAACGGCCACCAGGTCGCCTCTCACACATGGTCCCACCAGGACCTCAGTGCTATCACTAAGGAGGAGGCTTACGACCAAATGGTCAAGAACGAGATGGCTATCCGCAACATCATTGGAAAATACCCCACCTACATGCGCCCTCCGTACTCTTCTTGCACTGGAAGCTGCCAGGAAGTTATGGCCGATCTCGGTTACGTTGTGTCTTACTTCGACCTCGATACCGATGACTACAACCAATTGACCCCCGAGAAGATCCAGGTCGCCAAGGACAACTTCAAGAAGGGCATTGATACCCGTAACGAGGGATACTTCGATGGCGACAGGCTTGCTATTGGTCATGATATCCATCAGTTGACCGCCGAGAACCTCACCGTATACATGCTCGACTACCTCTACTCCCAAGGTCTCAGGGCTGTCACCATGGGCGAGTGCATGCAGGACCCCGAGGAGAACTGGTACCGCGACTCTACTCCCGCTCCTCCTAGCACCTCATCTACCCGTACTTCATCTTCCACTGTCCCCACTCCTACCGGCCCCACCTCCAAGGACGGCATGTGCGGTGCTGCTGGTGGCTCTCAATCTTGCGTTGGCTGGGTTGGCGTCGACGGTCTTCTCGGCGAGTGCTGCTCTCAATACGGCTACTGTGGCAACACCGCCGACCACTGCCAGACTGGCTGCCAAGCTGGTTTCGGAAAGTGCGGCGCCCAGCCCAGTGCTTCTCCCTCTGCTTCTGCTACCGTCACTGCCAGCGTCACTGGCCCTGTTCCTACTCCCACCGGCCCCACCACTACCGACGGATCTTGCGGTGCGGCAAACGGTGGCATGACTTGCATTGGCTTCAACGGTCCCGCTGGTCTGAGCGAGTGCTGCTCCCAGTACGGATACTGTGGAAACACTGATGTCTACTGCGACGCCGGATGCCAGGCTGGCTTCGGAAAGTGCGGTGCTCAGGCCGTCAGCAGCGCCGCTTCTTCCGTTGCTGCTAGCACCAGCCCTGCTCCCTCTTCCCCTGCCGATGTCAGCGCCAGCAAGGACGCTGTCTCCTCCACCGCTTCAAGCACCACCGTTGATGCTAGCTCGAGCGCCAGCCAGGTCTCCTCCGCAGCCTCTGCTACTCCCACCACCTCCGGTGAGAAGTCTCGCGATGGCTCATGCGGTGGAACCAAGGGATACACCTGCGTCGGCTTTAGCACTCTCGAGGGCGTGAAGTCTGAGTGCTGCTCTGCTTGGGGGTACTGCGGTACCTCTGAGGACCACTGCGGTGCTGGTTGCAACCCCGTCTACGGCAACTGCCCTTCGGCCTCTTCTTCGTCTGCTTCTTCTTCTGTTGCTGTCTCCAGCGCCAGCGAGAAGTCTGACTCTGCTTCCTCCACCGCGTCTATTCCTACGTCTGAGGCTATTTCTTCTTCCGTTGCCGCTTCAGTCTCTGCTTCGGCTTCTGCGTCCGTCTCTGAGTCCGTTTCCGCTTCGGCTTCTGCGTCCGTCTCTGAGTACGTCTCTGCATCAGTCTCTGCCTCTGATTACATCTCCGCATCGGCTTCAACCCCTGCATCTGAGAAGCCCGAGGAACACGACTCCACCTCCGTCGCTGCTTCTGCTTCCTCCACCTCAGTTGCCGAGTCTGCTTCCGCGTCCAAGGACAGCTACCCCACCAGCTCCGCCGTCTCTGAAGTCTCCTCCGCCTACCCCAGCTCCACCCCCGGAAACTCCGAGGCCGTCCCATCAAGCAGCCCGGCCGCTTCTTCCGCCTCTTCCTCCTCCCCCGCCTCCAGCTCCGCCACCCTCCCCAGCAGCGCAGCTTCCACCCCCTACGCCACCTCCACCATGACACCCACTCCCATCCTCCCCTCCTCCTCCTTCTCCACCGCCATCGTCCGCCCCAGCTCGACTTCCTGCTCCACCACCGCCACACCCACACCCACCAAGCTGCCCGTCTCCTCCAACGGAAAGTGCGGTGAGCATAATGGTGGCCAGACGTGCGCGGGCTACAAGACGCTGTTTGGTGTTGAGATGGGTTGCTGCTGCAAGCAGAGTGGGAGGTGCTCGATTGATCCTTGGGCTTGCGGGCTAGGGTGCGATAAGGGGTATGGAAAGTGTTGGTTTTAGGTGATGGGTATGTGATGAGTGTGCAAGGTTGAGGCCTTTTCTTTCTGTTCTGGATATACCTTGTTGAGATGATGAGTGGTTTGTTGTTGGTTATGTATGTATAACATGTAAAGAAAAAATGCATGATGATGAAGACGGAATGGGTACCATGAAGAATTCAGTCTATGTGGCGGTCATGTTCATGACGCATATCTCATTTCCTAGCCGCGCCAGACTCGGAGCGTCCCTCATCTCCGTCACTGCCCTTTTCTGCTACCATATCTCCAACCCCATTGTCGCCCTGCTTTTCGCCATCGCTCTTCTTCTTGTTCTCACCCTGGCCTGTAATCTTCCCGTCCTCGTCGACATCGCTATCACCCTCTTCGCTGCTATCACCCTGATCTACTCGGCCCTGCTCATAATGTCTGTAACCAAGAGCGTCGTCTGAACGGGGATTCTGGATTCCTTTCATAGCTTCCCATGCATCGCGAACATGTCTAGACCAGTGGTGGCTGTCAACGTCGATCCATATGGGCCACGGCCTTTGGTATCCTGAAGCAAATAGTCGCTCTTTTTTGTATCTGCCCTCCTGTCGCCAGACGCGCATCGTTGTGTCTAATGCAGCCATACTTGCCACAGATTCGCGGAAAAACTTCCTTCGGCTCTTGCGTAGCTCCTGGACTCCTGCCAGACGATAGCCCCAGCCAGAGTCCCAGTCTTCCAAGCTGAGCGACAGCTCAACTGTTTCAAGGTTAAAAGTACGGGCTACTTCCAGAATCGAGTCGATTCGTTCGTCTTCTGCACTCAAAGATACAACGTGTAGAGCTTTGAGACTGTCGGGTAGGTACTCTTCAGGGCGTGTAAGGGCCAACGTTTCCGCACGTCGATTGTAGACAAGATCATGAGTTGCTAGGAGGTGAGCGTCTACCTTCAGTTCTGATAGATTGGACAGGCCCTTGAAGCTGCCGAAGGTTCTCGGGGAAAACTGGGCGTCTCGATCCCAGTCGTTCTCGAACCAATGCAGAATCTCCAGGCCAGGTAAATGTGCTTCGATTATCTGGGTTATCAGTCGAAGATCGTAGTCTTTCCACTCACTCTCGTAGCTAATGTACAGTCCGCGGACCTTCAGTTCTTTGAGGTTGCCGACTTCCGCATACGAAAGAAGCTTCTCAAAGTCAGTTGGACTAGCGTCGACGTTCTTCATCTCCAGGATTCGTAGATTCGTATCGGGGCTCCGATAGGGAAAGTACATGATTCCAGGCAGGTGAGATCTGTATCTGTACTTTATGCTCAAAGATTGCATCCAAGGGAACACAGGTGCCGCTCTGCATGCACCTCCGCCTATACAAAGACTCTTCAACTTGCCGAAAGGTTTGATTTCTGGGCTCTTACGACGAGGTCTCCATTCATGTTCCAGGAGCTTCGTTGTGATCAATAGTGTGTTAGTCCTGCATCCGAGATCTAGGTGCTCGAGATCTGGGGCGAGACAAAGGATGAGAGCCAATGCGCCGTCGCATGTTTCTCCTCCGTCATAGATGCTACCGAACCAGCGAGTGATGACCTCCCAGTCCAGGTCCTTGCCGATATCATCGACCATGTCTCTTACAGTGGTGATGTTATTGAAGAACTCCCGGTAGTATGTATCGTTGCCGAGCCCGATTGGACGTGCGTTCCACTCTTGGTACAGTGTAACGCGTTTGATGTACTTTGCTAGATCCGGTCGGTGAACGATAGTGAGAAAAAGGACAGTAATCCGAAAGTACTGATCTTCATCGAAGACAAGGTCCTTGTAGAGGAAGGGCTCCGCTATCTCGCGGTAATACTTAGAGACTTTCGACATCGCATTGAGATCTTTCCTCTCTACCAACCGCCAAAGGATGTTCTCGTCCAGCTCCGTTGATAATCCTTTCATTGACATTCTGTACTGATTCCAGAGGGCAAGCTCAGAACTGCCAGATGGAAAGATAAGAGAGGATGGATTACCTACGTTCGCAATTTAAATTGAGCGAAGCGTGCTTGCAAGTCGCGTAACAAAGGTGGAAGGTTGTTTGGTTCTCATCACATGCTCAAACTCATGCGACCAAGGCGGTTGCTTACTGAGAGCTTGCTCAATTGTCAACCGACAACATAGTAGTATTGCACGAGATTGGGTTTGTTGACGGCCATTGTGTGGCATGTGGTCTCTCCGATCAGAATGTGAAGATACCTAGACTTTAAGGATTGCGATCTCTCATTTGATGAGGAGTACCTTTTGCGTATGTGGTAGTTATGTATTTCGGGAGTCATAAGTGGCTCGTCTCGCTCTGCGTCATCGCAGTACTATGGATGGGATGGAAGGGAACCAGAATATCGAATCGGTGAAGATACCTAGATGGCAGGGACACAACGTATCGGCTGTCGGATCCAATGCTAGAGACGCCGTATCATGTATGTTCACCCCGGATAGTTGGTCAAAACAACGTGAATGAGGTCTGGAAACATCTGTAGAAGTCTTCTTTAGCCGCTATGATGGAACGCAATGTTAGACATGCTGAACGAGGGTCCTGTATATCGAAGGACATATTCCCCAGACACTCGTCATGACCCTTGCCATATCGAACCCGACGGTGCTTCTAATGCATGCTGCGACTCTGAATCACCGGTCTGCTCGCGCGTGACTTACGATAGATCAAAAGGAGTCGTTGAGCTGCCAAGTTGTGGCGCCCAGCGTCGTACACCGAAGCAATGCTTGTCTATACAAGCCGGCGAATTTTTCAGGGGCCCGGCCGACAAATATATTGGTCGCAATATCGTTGCCGTTACTATAGCCGGTTCAGCAACACAACACAACACACGCGTGGACATCGAAAACGTCATGGACATGTCAATCATACTTACCCCTCAACAACCCGTATCGCCAGATCCCCAAGTCCTCCAGACTCCGCGCCAGTGAAGAAGATACGAGATTGTGACAAACTGCCCAGGTGAAAGTGTTGCCAGCTACGCGAAAACGTGCTCGTATGGCCGTCTCAGCAGGACGTATTCGTCGTTGGCGCCGCATCTCAGAAATATTGAATCGGGGCTATTTTGAGACTTAGGTGCATCGGTTAGCGCCCGGCCATGTGGGGATGTGGCTGGTGACCCATAAACCCTGTCATGTTTCGTGATGACGGGCTACAACTTTACAAAGCCAATAATCTATTCACCCCTCGATTGAACGGGCATTCATTTACAAAGACTCTTTTCATCCCACGTACTAAGAGAAGTTCTCGTTGACATAAGACCCTCACAACACCCTCAAGGTCATGAGACGATTCCGAGTCGTCCGGAAAGTCGGACGGTCAAGCCACATCAAGCTTGGCGCCTACGTCGAAACTCCCGCTGGCACATCACGGCACACGGCTATTGAGACCCCCGAAGCAGCCTAAACCAGGGGCGGATCACAACCTTCTCCCTGCGCCACCTATAGGAATGCGCTGCAAACATTACACGACCCCTAACCCCCTGTCCTTTACGGTCCAAAAGGCCAGAAGCAGTGTGGCTGAGTGCAGCACCACCACCGCCAACAATGGCGTGCGTTGGTGTGATGTGTCGCGCGTTTCGTTTCGTATATCCCTCTTTTTCTTTGCTGCCTTTGCGGCCCAGCTCACTTACCTTAGTGCCTTGACTCCAGTTCGAGCGCGCGGTTTTTCTGGGCTTAGACATACTTTAGCGAAGGTAGCTTGGACAAGCTTCGCGCCTGTTTAGAGAGAAAAAAGCACGACTTGTGGGCGGTGTTCGAGACTGTCCTGACTGGTGGTGCCGTGTAAGCGGAGTAGCGAGCGGCTTTACTGCACGTTTTTAGTATATGAGCTTGCGGAGCCCGCGTTTGCGCTGACCCTTCTTGATTTTTAGGTATCGTCTCTTTACATCGTCGAGTTTTGTTGCAGCATTGTCGAGCGCTTTCACGTTTCTTTCTTCTTGTTCGTTGCTGATGGCTAGGTGACACTCGTTCGCTATTCTCTTCACGTTTACTAGTCGTCGATCAACCGTGATCCTTTTACATATTCATATCCTTGTTTAATTATTCGGATACTGTCACTACATCTACGATACGAAATTCGAAGGATACCGTACGCCATGTCATACCTTCCACCACTAGGAGCCCTGCTCCTGCCTCTCACGGCACTACTCGCCCAGTCTGCACTCGCTGCCAACCCTTACACCAGCTCCATGAACGAGGCACCCAAGGACAACAACCCAGACTGCGACTGCTATGTCGTCCAGTCCGGCAAAGACTCGCAAACGCCAGAGTACTTCCAGTACTACCGCTTCTACGACTTCCGAAACCTCCCAGGCGCGATGAGCGAGTCACCACCGCTTCTCAACGATAGTCAGATCGCGGGCATGGCGAACACATGGCAGCCAGATCTGTTCAACAGCGATGCTTGGAACTACGATTGGGGCATCCAGAACTGGACCAAGCCTGCCACCGAAGACTTCCCCGTACCGATGAACAACTCCTTCGCGAACATCTTCCTCGGCGAAGAAGACTCCACATCATACCTCGCACTGCGAACGTCGCGTCTGGATGACTACCAGACGGCTGGAGAGATTGAGAACCAGCAGAAGAACCTCATGCACGTTTCGATGCGCATGTATGGTCGTGTTCAGGGTGCCAAGGGTGCGGTGGCAGGGTTCTTCACCTTCTTCGACGACGACAACGAGTCCGATATCGAGATCCTGACCGACGATCCTAAAGATCAGATTCGCTACACGAACCAGCCTTCCGTGGGCGAGGATGGCAACGAAGTCGCTGCTGCGTCTGTTGGCCCCACCGACCTCCCCCGTTGGGACGAATGGCAAACCCACCGCATCGACTGGCTGCCCAAGAACAGCTACTGGTACCTCAACCAGAAACAAGTCGCAGCAAACACATACTCCGTCCCCCGCGAGCAGAGTTTCCTCGTCCTGAACATGTGGGGTGATGGTGGAGAGTGGAGTGGCGAGATGGATGTGGGCGATAGCGCCGAGTTCCACATTCAGTGGATCGAGATGACGTTCAATACCAGTGGACCATATGAAGGAAAAAGCCAGGAGAACAAGAGGGATATCACCAATTTGTTTGGAAGAAAGAGAGCGGAGAAGGGATGTAAAACCGTGTGCAAGATCGATGACGTGAAAGAAGTCGGTACGCCTGAGGTTGATAGCGGTGCCATGGGAATGAGTGTTTCTTGGGGACTGTTGGCCGTTGTTGGTCTTGTGTCCGTCGTTGTCGAGATGTAGAGACTAGATGTGCATGAATAACTGTAATATACCCAAGTCTATATAAATTGCTGTCTACCGTGAAAAAACGTAATTAGGAGATACACCTGCATTGCTATGAAATACCATGTCACTCAACTGCATTATGCCCGCATTTTTGCTCTAGCACGTCCAAAAAAGCAATGCTCAAGTCTATCCCGTGAACAAGTTTGCATTTTACCAGTAATAATTAGGTGGGGGCGAAGCTTTCCAATACCCGTGGTCCATGTCATCTTGCATCTCTTCTTTGGTTTTACGAGGTACCTCGCACGTACTAACTTCAACGTAATATCGCCGACCACCTGGATAATCAAGATCTGATTTCCTGCAGTAAGCCAGTGGAGATGTTACTGGCGGTATACATCGTCTGTTGTTATACTTCGCGAAATCTTCGAGCCCAGAACCCGCCTTTTCTGGAGCAGCTTAGCTTCACGAATTTCGGGTCAAATGGAGATTGATGTTCACTTACCAGAGGATCTGTAGGCTATTCTCATGGTGAAATCGAAGGTGATGGGCTCCGCAGCCCTTGCCACGTCTTCTTGTAGGTTCACCAGGTTTCTGAGGTGGCGTTCAATCATCCCCCAATCCCCAGGGTTTAGTTGATGCGAATGGACGTGAATGCTCTTCAAATGAGGAAATTGCCCGCTTCGGAAAGCACTGAACAGACCTGCAAAGTATGGCCACAGATCCAAGGCATATGGCCTGTAGGGTTCGTCAAGCCATAAATGCTCAAGGGTATTTGGAAGAGCATCTTTCAAAATCGGCGATGTTTTTATTGACCACCTGTGCGGAAGATGGTAGCCGAGAAGAGTGTACGGATTGGCTCGTAGGGAGGTGAGTGAACTCAAGAGGGTGCCCATACGAAATATACCTGGGCTTTGGTAGAGATCGCGCGAATTGAGTGCCAACTGATCCCCAAGCGACAGAGTGACCAGACTTTCGGCATGTGCCAACAGGGCTGTGCCGACGTCTTCATAAAACTCGGTGTCGCAGGGCGGCCTTTGACATGGAGATACCACTTCGAATTCTGTGAGCACCTTGCAAGCGAGTAGCATTTTCGCAACTATGGAGCCGCTGAAGTGCGGGGACAGCAATGACAGTCTGGTGATGGACGACGTGCGATCAGGCCACACCCAAGGCTCTCCCATGAACGCGGAGTCATTGGTATCTGGCCCAATAGCCCACGAGCGTCCGGAATCAGTCTCACCACAATTGCCGATGGTTAGGTTGGTCAGGCTTGGAAGCAGAAACAAAGGTAGCGCATTACGAACCGGCCACCCGACACCGCTCTGGTATACGTCGAGATGAAGAACCTTGAGCCTCTCGAACCCACCCGCGTTGGCACTATGGACGATGCTGTTGAGCAAAAGACTGGAGCTGCCTTCGTCCAGTTGTGATTTTGGGAGCCGGAGCCAAAGCCGTTCCAGATTGCATGCAGCAAGAATATACGGGGTAAGTAGTACATCTTCTCCCAAGATAGCGCGCTCAAGAAGGTCGTGGTCAGAGGCATGTGCCTGATTGCTATTCATAGCCGGGATGAGTTCGCCGAGCCACTCGTAGCCTTCTGGCGTGTATTCTGGTACGTCGCTCACCCCTTTGTCAACATCACTTCCATCGCCATCCAGCATCTTCTGATGCCGTCTCTGATAGCGAATGCATTTTGCATCGTAAGTCACACGTTCCTCGACCTCTTCGTCATCGAGCTCGTTCTCGGGTCGCAGGTTATGCCCCGCCCAAAAATCGCCTACCTCAAAGCCGTCCTCCATCTTCAGTCTCAGATTCTTGATGTACCCACACAGTTCCACGTTCTTCAGAAGAGTACGTGAGAACTGGCGATAAGCCCGGCTATCCATGTTGCCTGCCCGCTCAATGGATTCGTAGATGAGCGATTTCGCAACATTTCTGAAGCTTCGGCAGACGCAACACAATGCCAGGAGGTCTCGCGAAGGAGCGGGTACACGTGGCGCAGAGAAGCATGTTATCGGCGTGTGCAGGAGACTGAAGATCTGGAGGAGCAGCTCGTTCGGAAACTCGTCCATGACTGGAAGACAAGACGAGAAACGTAATGCGCCTAAGGTGGGGATTGTTGACCTTAAAAGTCAGGAGGGAAAATCAGGCAGCAGTATGAGTCAGACGCGCTTACTGTATTCTCTTCTGCAGCCAAGAAGTCGCGTTCATGGAATGTCGCGTTTTCGGCTAGCTCGGTTTTCACGCGCTGCTCGCCTGTCATGCCCTTGCCGAGGATGCAGATGTTCTCCCACTCCCCAATCATTTGCGGCTTCTCGCTCAAGCTGCGTCAATTCGAGACTATTCTTCAGCTCGGTGTTTTCCGGTCGACTTTCAAACGCATGCGGCAGCTACGTAGAAGCCACAACGACCAAAAAAGTTAACGAACAACGAGGCGTTCCCACGTCCGGACGACTGAAGCGAGATGCGATCGCTTTCGCAATAGCTCGGCCGCCTCTGTGATGTGCGCACATGGCTTCGCGCATAAGACTTGAGACGAGAACCTCATAGCGTGTGTATTTGTTGCGCGATGCCAAAACGTGGCGTTCCCAGCTCCAGGCTGGAAAGCCTCCAGGGTCCATTTGATGGCCGAGAAGGCGGGGTGCCCGAAAACGTGGAGGGCAAGGCCGCGCCAAAGGCGAAGCAGTTTAGGTTCGGTAAATGTATGCAAGGGCGCAAGCGAAAGTGTGTTGATGCGTAGAAAGTATGAGTCTGGAAGTCACGATGTGGACCTGTCAGATGGTGAGGATGCTGGCCCGTCCCGCCGCCGTCACCTGCGTCTGGCCGATTAGGAAGTACCGAGAATCATTGCGTTCAGCTGCCGACGCGCATTCAGCGCACTTAGTCCCACCCTATCACTCCTTCATATGGATATAGGCGAAAACGACGCAGCTGGCTGCATGTTCGTCGCAACGACTCATGGAACCAGAGAGCTTCACGAGTGCTCCGCAGTTGTTTCGAGTTTGGGCTGGCTGACGCTGATGATCCAGAGCAAGCCATGTGCACAACACGCCTTGTTGGTTGGCACCTTTGCGAGCGGGGTGTCATGATAGGAATAGTCGCATGAATCTATGCCCAAGGCGGCGTCATTCATCATTGCGGAAGAGCTGAACTTGCGCAGTATAAAGACACCCTTCGTCCATCTATCTTCCCATCAGCAGCCGACAGGAACTCATCACTTCAATATCATCCACCCTCACAGCACTCAATGTACACACAGGAACAGTTCATCGCCATGCGTTCTCTCGTCAAAAAGGGTAACACCATCCATGTCCCCGCCCATTTCCTGGGTGGTGAGAAGAGCGAGAAGATCACCCTGAACTGGAGCCAGTGGCTAGGATCTCACAGTGAAGACTATTATGTCTGCAACTACACCGTCAAGTCCGGTGGTACGTAAGCCCCTTCACTCGCTTGGTGGTCTCAGACTGATCAGAGACGAGTAGACGACGCTAGTGGTCTCATCTTTGTGCAGGCCGACAAGGTTGATGAGTTCAAATCGAAGAAGACAGACGGAGAAGATCTCACGGTCACGGTCGACGAGTCATTCGAGTACGGACAAAACGTCGATATGACCAAGCGTTTCCTCGTGTTTCACAACACAGACAACAGGCCCTATCAGGTAATTGAGCTATGATGCATTAGCATGAAGACAACAAGTGGTTGACTTAGTACAGCACCGTTTTGTTGAAAATTGCCACACCCAGATGGCAGGGCACGCCGCCGACTACGCTAAGGAATTAGGTTTCGGTAGTGTAGCAGAATGTGGTGAAAACTTAGGCAAGAACTTTTTGGGGGATTACTTGCACAAGTTCTAGAAGGTCAAGTTTTGGGATACCAACAATCTTTTGAGCGCTACATAGTTTCAGAAAGTTCATAAGCATCGGCATTGTAATGGAATGATAGCACTTCGAGACACATATTGAACTAGCTTCATGCTACAGCTTGTTGTACTTCGAGCGGAGTTTCTATGCTTCTTCTTAGCTACTTGTAGCATACATCAATCCCTATTATCTACGTGAAGAGTCGACTCCACAGCCCACCATTCTTCGTGTATCGTATGCTCAACTTCGGCCAATTCATTTCACTGCCTTACTAGCCAATTTATCGGTACCTGAGATCGCGCCGACAAAAACCGCTTTGCGATCTTCCAAAGTTTCCAGTGTTACGCAAGTAATAATCCCAGTTGATATGCTCTGCTACAAAGCCGGGACCACACAGCAGTATCGATTCGCAACCTTCTTCTTGTCGATAGATTCGCAATGACGTGCCAACGTCGTTCAAAGCAGACACCAATTCAAGAAGGAACTTTTTCATGCTGTCCTGATAATTCCGGGGGGACCAAATTTCCATGTCAAGAAACAGGTCAAAGGTCGAAAGACCAAGAGATGTGGCAGTCGTAAGGATATAGTTGCGCGAGGGAGACACTTTGGAGGCCTCCTCTAGGTCATGTAGCAACCAACGCGGCACTCCCGTGATTTTGAGGGTCTTTAAACTCTCCGGGAAGAAATTCGTGGGGTGAAGAAGATGCGCGGGTGGATCGTAGATGTTGCCACTGTTTGATCGTATGTAGTTGCAGCCGAGGACGAGTTCTTCCAATTCATTGAGACCTGCGAATCGACCGAATGGTTGGTACACCTGGTACTGTTTTCCTTTTCCTTCTCCGGTCCATCCGAGAGTCTTGAGTGATGGAAGGAGGTGCTGCAATAGGTCGCTTAATCTGCGGTAGTCGTACATGTTCCCTTCCACGAAGTGGATATTTCCCATCTTCAGGTGCTCTATACCATGCATTTCCGGCAATGCTAACATGCGATGGAGCTGATCCGTTTGCAAAGTGATATGCCGCAATTCCAGGTTACGCAAGATTGCAATCCTTTTAGACCCTCTGTATGACCACTGCAGGTCATGGTGGGAACCATTATCGCAGGAACTCCGGTCGCCGCTGACCTTCAGGGTCTGGACAGGTGCCAATATTGGAATAGACGCATCGTTACCAACGACTACCTCTAGGCTCTTCAACCTTTTCAAAGGCCAGACTCCCAAGGACGCGCTTTTGGTGAGTCTTTGCCAGCGTGCGGGGCAGACGGCTTCGATGATCGCAGAACTCATGTTCATCAGCCGGAGGTGTTCGAGGTTGGTTGCGAGACAGAGTATGAGAGCCAGCGAAGCATCTATAGTCCAAATCTCTCTGGACACATTGTAGTACCACGTCACGTCAAACAGAGGCTCTTTCAATGGGTACGCAAGGTCCCTGAGAGCCTTCTGTACCTCTGATGACTTTTTGGAGAGGTCTTTGCTGACCTTCTCGATGGTATTGTTCGGATCGTAGTAGCTAAGATAGTGAAGGTCTGCTTCCCATTGCTCGTTAGCAATATCGAAGGCGAAGCTCCGGATGTGCTGTGAGAGCTCTCTGCGGCTGATAAGAGTCAGTAGAAGACGTGGTACGGAGAGGATGTTCGAACTGCGTACTTGGACGTTCCCGTAAAGATACGGCTCCGCTATTTTGCGATAGTACTTGTTCGTAAGCGTCAGGTTGTGAAGGGCGTGATGCGGGAGGTATTGTATGATCATCTCGTCGATTTCAGTGGAAAGGTCCGAGAGCGACATGGTTGGGTAGGGATTGCGGTCGAGAGGTAATGTTGCGGAGATGTTGGAAGAATCTTTTGGTCGTTTCGTGCCTCTAGAGAGTGTGTTGCCTTTGCGTAGAAGGTATGGAAAAATATGTGTCTTTGTAGGTGCAAGACCTTTCCGATGAGAATTTATATATTCTCGTTCCAAGGTTCTTCTAGGCACCAGCAGCTGCACATGACTGGAGTAAATTCTGGTTGAGATGTTGTCGACACGTCATCGGAACCGAAGTTCGAGAATGAGTCGAAGCGCAACTCCAAGACCGACGTGTGATACTCGCTATCCCTAACTCGGGCGAGCCTTCTCACCGGGGCACGTACCCGAGAATGAGGGTGAGCGCGTGTAAGAAGGTCCGTGTCCCTAATACAGCAGGTGCGTCCGTTCCAGTATCGCTCCTTCCACTAGCAACGCGCAGGTCATTTCGCAAACTACCACTGACCAGATCTCTAAAGATTTCCAGCTCATCCTCATACACCGCCGGCGCGCAGTCGCGACATATCACTCGTTCTCGCGACTCATCGGCAATAAGCCATTCGCGACTTCCGAAGTCAATACTACACCCATCCAATCAGGTGCTCTCGCGTGAGAAGTATCATCAACACAAGGAACTTCCTGCTCTCGCTCTCCCTTACTCGCCCACTATGGACCGTCTCTCAACCGAGCTAGGCGAAAAGATCATCCAGCACCTAGTCGGAAAGGAAGCATCGGCTCTTTCGATGACATCAAAGTACTATCGATCGCTTGCGGAACCACAGCTCTACCGAGAGCTCAATTTCTCGACCAAGCAATGCATAGACTTGATGTTGTTGTTTGAGACGCTTGTTGATCGTCAAGACCTCGCAAAGCACATTCGTTCCTTCACTATGACCATGAACGGATCGCCAAAGTTTACCTGGATCTTCGACGCTATCTTCGCCCCCCGCTTCCGGAGTAAGATGAATGAGTACGAGCAGGTTATCAGGGAAGTTATTCCATCATCGTCAAGAGGTCGAGCCAGGCAATGGCTTGATCAGTTGTGTCCAGATCAGATGTATCCAGGAGAGCCTATGATCGACGGACAGCTCGCGGTTATTGTCTCTCTTGCCGAGAACATGGAGCATCTGATACTAGATTTTGTCTACCTTTCTAGTGTTCCGATCACCGGGTCAGTCCTCGAAATGTCCTGGGGCAAAGTCAGTGGCGCCGCTCTGAGTAGCGGAGGATACAAGGGAACCGCCTGGAGGTTTAGCAAAGGCTCCGCCAAGCGTGCGGAGGGCCACATACCCTCTTGAGATGGAAGCGAATGGTCTATAGCGGACTGACGTTTGGTGCGAGGCCGATAGAACGGAGAGACATTTGGGACGGAGATGATGCATTTGGGACACGCTGCTTTTCCTACTATTCAACGCCGAAGTGTGGCATTAGAACAGACATCTTGGTCGTAGCAAATACGATAGGACTAAGGCATTGCTGAAGAATGTGAATGGGACATATGATGTCAGGAGTTTTGTTGACAACATGGCTTCGAAAGTACGAAGCCACCCGTGGATTAGAGAGAGCCGGGTGATTACGTCACGGCGCGGCGATCTCCACCCGTGGACGCCTCGGCCATAGCGGGGTTAACTTTTGGGAGCCGAGCTGCGAATTGCCCAACACGTCAACGTTAGCCATCATCCGCAACACCATGGAGGAATACAAGGCCAAGTACGCTATCCACGAGGCCTGTCGGGAGGGTCAAAGTGCGCATCACTCCCTCCTATCTATGAGCCCAAGCCTAATAGTCCCCAGCATCCCGAGTCGATTCCCTCCTCGCCGCGAACCCCAAGCTCGCAAACCTGCGCGACCCAGACGATCGCCTACCATTACACTGGGCCGTATCCTACAACCACCTCGCTATCGTTCAAACACTCGTACAAAGCAAGTCGTTCGACCCTGATGTCACGGATGGCTCGGGCTGGACGCCACTCATGATGGCATGCTCGCGGAAAGACGCAGAGCCAATAGTAGACCTGCTGCTCTCCAAAGACGCCGACGTAAACGCGAAGAACAACAACGGTCAGACCGCCCTGCATTTCTGCGCATCGAAAGTGAACCTCGACATCGCACGCACATTGCTCGCACAGAAGCCGCCAGCGTCAGCACGGATAAAAGACAAGAGAGGGCAGCTTCCGTTACATCGAGCAGCGGCGGTTGGCAGCGTGCCGATGATGAAGGCGCTGCTGGATGCAAAAAGCCCGCTGAATGCGACGGACATGGATGGCATGACGGCGCTGCACCATGCGATGAGCGAGGGGCACGGGGACGCTGCGTTGCTGCTGCTCACCATGGGCGCAGAACACGACAAGAAGGACACAGACGGCCATGTACCGCTGGACCTCGCGCCAGATGCGAAGACTAGAAGCTTCATACTGCAGGCAGCTGAGCGGGAAGGTATAGAACTGCAGTAGGCAGGACACATCTCACGACATGTAATGTTGCATTTACGGAGTCAATACGATACCCAGGGTCACGGCGCATTGAGACTGTCATATCTATGAAAACATTCATAATTGAGCTACTGTCTGCAAATTGTGTTCATACCTTGTACCATCTGTAGAGCTGCCTGGTCGGTGGGGTGGCACGAGCTCGTGATGACTACTCCCGAGGTCCCGACCTCGACATGCCTTTCTTTCGCAGCCCCTCGCACCCCGCGTGTTCTGCACTTCGGACCTATTGCGCAATCGCACCCATCACCTGCATTAGCCCCCACGCTCCCATCGGCATGCCATCAGCGGGGCCTGACCTAGCGCCTGTCCGCAGCGATCAGTCTACATTCCATGCCTCGAGTCCCAGCGTCTGCACACGCACGGATGCGAACAGGCAACGGCATCAACTATCAGCTCAACTGTGAAGCACGCGACAAACTCTTGTCAGACGTCGCAATCGCAACTCCACGTGGTGACGTTACTTTGCTCCTGACGCGTGCTCATCCTGAGGATGATTCGCCATCATGGTGCTAATCGTCACCCATCATGGTCTTCACGGTTTGACTATATAGCTGTCGTGGGGACGATGTACCGAGGCTAAATCCGCGCCGTTTACTCCCTCAAAGACGTATACAGAAAGTACAGTCTGGACTGCAGCTACCCCAGAAGTATAAGTCGCGACCGCATCGATCAACTCTAGGTTTCTTACCTCCTCTCCTAGCACACAGCACCACACAATCACTCTCTTATTCAGCACGTCATACACCCATAGTATAGCAGCATGGCTACCTTCTCCGATCCATCGACGTACCTGAATTTTCTCATCTCTCCGCGAATCCCTCCAGAGCTGGTCCTTAAGACTATCCAGCACCTGCCTTTCAACGATGGCTCGCTCATTACCACTATCCGGAGCGCACATCCTAGACTTCGTGCCATCTTCAGGAATTACGAAAGATCCATCACTGGCAGCTTCATGAAGAAAGAGCTCCGGCACGCAGAAACAGACTTCAAGTGTGGAGATGATCGGCTCAACGTCGACTGGCTGGCCGATTGCGTTCACAACTACGATATTGTCGATGACGTTATGGACGCCCTCTGCTCCGAGCACAATTTCAACGCAGTCTTACAACACAACGTCCCCCTCGCAAATGCCGGACTACTGCTATTATACCGCCTGACATCAATCGGTCAGTCCACCCGCCAACCCCTCTCCAGCACAGCCTCAGCTAACCTCCCTCTCAGAAGACCACGCAGACCGCCTAACCTACATCAAATCCCTCCCCCGCGACCCCCTGGTTGCAATCTACCTCGTCCTCCACCACGCCACCCTCTCCGCCCGCTACCACGGCTCAGGCTGGATAAATCAACGCACCTACGGCCGCTTCATGGACGCAAACCAAGTCGAACTACGCAGCGAACTAGAATTCTGCTTCGCAGAAGCGGCGCTGTGTCTCGGTCCGGAGTTCATCTCAGACACACTCCTGCACCACGATACCTCAGATGCAGAGACTACGTTACTGAATTTCTACCATGATCATGGCACGCATGATTGGGACTGGCCTTGTTGGGGGACGGCGAAGGGCGAGTTTGAACCGCCCAGGACGCAGGGGCCGCAGAGGGAGGAGGGGAGTGGCAGGAGCTTGTTTACGACGATGTTGGAGAGGTTAGCGGAGTGCATGGCGTGTGAGTTGGGGGATGTTAGGCCGAGGGTTGAGCGGCAGCTTGAGAGTGCGGAGCATGAGTTGGCGTATTTGAGTTTAGCGGGGAAGGCAAGGTTACTAGAGGGACGGGATGTGGAGGACGTCGATGGTCGGTAGGACAGGGTGTTTCGGTCGTCTTTTGGATCGGACTGGACTTGAACGGCATGTTCAATGGCATTCCTAGTGAACTTCTAGATTTTGGTTACTCCTCATGATGCAATGCAATACGAACAACACAAAGCTATCATCTCCCACTCCATCGTGAAAGACATCCCAACACCCTAAACCAACTCATTATAAACATCCGTCCTCCTCTTCAACGGCGAATCATTCCTCATACTCCTCACAAACTCAACATCAATCTCCGCACACGCAATCTCCCCCTCATCCTTCCAACTCCCCCCCTCCCCCTCATCACCCCCCAACTCCGCCACAATCTTCCCCCACGGATCCACAATCATACTATGACCCCAACTCCTCCTCTTCCCCTCCTCATCATGCACACCCACCTGCGCCGCAGCGATAATATAACTCTGCGTCTCGATCGCACGGGCACGTATCAAAATCTCCCAATGTCCTGCTTTTCCAGTCGGCGTCGTGAAGGCGGCGGGGTATAACAGGACTTCTGCGCCGCGGGCGCGCAGGGCGAGACCGGGTTCGGGGAAACGCAGGTCGAAGCAGATTTGCATGCCTAGTTTTCCTACGGGGCTGTCGAAGGGGTCGCCCAAGTGGACGCCGCGTTCTACCCCCGCGGATTCTTGCATCTGGGGCCCGTCTTTTACGTCCATGTCGAAGAGGTGGAGTTTTTGGTAGCGGTACTTTATTTCGCCCGAGGCGGTGATCCAGATTAATGTGTTTTTTACTTTCTTGCCGTCGTCTGTGGGCTCGTGGATGCCGACGGAGATGGGGAGGCTGTATTGTTTTGCGGAGGCGCAGAGGCCTTGGACGAATTCGGAGTCTTGGACGGATTTGCAGAGTTTGAGACCGCCCGAGGTGGTTAGGTAGTCTGCTGCTTCGGGGAGGAAGAGGGCGGCTGCGCCGGCTTCGTGGGCTTTGCGGCAGAGGGATTGGGCTTGTTTGAGGTTGTCGGCCATGGAGGCCTGGGAGCGCATCTGTCCGACTGCCTGGGGCTTGTTAGTATGAGGGATTTATGGTCGGGTTTGTAGAAACAGTCCATATCGACTCGCGAGTACTCTCTTGAGCGGTGTGAAGATGTGGCGGGATGTTGGGGAACACGAGTTGTTCTAGATAAGAGCCAACATTGAACAAGATTTGGGATGATATATGGAAGGTACCCAAATCAAGAGAATGGATTACAAAGCCTCAAATCTGTACATTGACGGTACTGGTTGGCAACGATGGGATGATGGACATTGAGAAACAGTTTAGATGGCAAGGAAACGAGAGATAACTGGGAACAACTTACTGCGAGAGGCATCTTGAAGGTATTGATTGGTTTGATTGTGTGTGTTTGAATATGTGGAAGGAATCAAGGTACCTCTGATCTATATGAAGACAGCAAACAGAACTAAAGAAAGAATACCGCTGTCGCCACAGACGGCAGGCGCGATGCCACTAGAGGCTAGTTCAATCGTAGCAGTCATCGTGAGATGCATGTTGCATCTGGAAACGCATGCCAAAAAAGCATATGGCATGGTGACAGCATGGAAAAGTGAAGATGTCCATAGACCGATCGACATGCGGAAGTCCCCTGCATTAAGTCTTGGTGGTGGGAATTGCGTCAGGGCAGAGAGCGGAGTTGCGGAACATTTGGTCGGCCAATCGGCGTGCGGCTGGCATGCTGCAACCGCGCCCGTCATCTCGAGGGCTTGCGCGGCAGGAACCTTGGGAGCAAGAGGACACGCATGCGATTGGGGCCGCCTTCCGATGATACGAGCTGATCTAGCTGCGACGACTAATTTCGCCTCACTGCCCTCTACGACATTCACCTTATGGTCATTGCTGTGACACCCCGCGAACCCTACTGATCGCGTACGACCTACAACAGACCAACCTGGCCTCTCGCGCAATTGAGCTATGAACAGACACAGGCGCCGAACGAGTGCACGCTGAACGCTAGCGAAGCATCGTAGACGACGGATCGCCCCAGGACACATACAGCTGTAGAGGCAAGATGAGTGGGAAGAACTGGTGGAACAGCGCGATCTCGGGCCTCGAGTCGCGCCTTGACGGTATCCTGGCTGAAGATGGCACCACCACCACCACCAAGCCGGCGGGCACAGAGGCAGGCGCCAAATCAGACGCGACAGAAAAGGCAGCGACGGACAAGAAGCTTGCGGTCGAACCAGGTGGGTGGCCTTGGAGACACTTGCTGTTACCAGCTTTCAGAGGGCTAACGACACAGGCATCTCGCGCACCTCGTCACGAAGCCGACCCAATTCTCGACTACAAGACCGCCTAGCCAAGGCCGTGAACAAGGGCTCCGAAGCAAGAACCTCGTCGGACCTTGGATCAAGACCCGCGAGTCCAGCCGTGAATGCTGTCACCGCATCGCCAAGAGCCAGCATAGACTCGAAAGCGCCCGAGCCAGCGACGGAGGCGGTAGCTGTGAAAGAGGAAACCACAACGGTGAAGGAAGATGAGACGTTCAAGCCGGATGAAAGTAAGGTCGAGGAACCTCCACAACCCGCCTCAGAGGCACCTGCGCCCATAGTCTCTCCTCCAGCGACTTCACCACCGCCTACGCTTCTAGTAGCCGAGCAACCGACCTCGACGCCCGTTCCCACCATGTCCATGCCCTCGATACCCTCCATCGTCACCCCGCAAACCTCGTCTCCCCGCCAGTCCTTCGACAGCGACCCGTCGCGACCTTCAACCGACGTACTCCTCCCAGCGCTGGCTACCGAGACCAAAGACCCCGAAGAAGTGCAGGCTGAGCTATCGCTGCTGCAGAAGACATACGAGGAGACGATGCAAGACAATCGCGAGGAGCTCAACTCTCACCTAGAGCGAATCGATGCTTTACAGTCGAAACTCACATACCTCTCCGAGCAGCTTGCTGCCTCTGCAAAGGCCGCCAAGTCCGACTCGGAAGCGACCCCAGTGGACAAGAAGCTGGCGGACAAGGATGCACAGATAGCTGCGCTCATGGAAGAGGGGCAGAAACTCTCAAAGACGGAGATGAAGCATCTGACCACTATCAAGAAAATGCGCGCGAAGACAATGGAGCAGGACAAGGAGATTGCGACTCTCAAACAGCGGCTGACAAAGGCGGAAAAGAGCATCACTGAGCAGTCGGAAAGGGCACGGCGTGCAGAGGCGGCGGAAAAGTCTGCGCAAGAAAAGCTGAAGATTGTGGGTAGGATCGAGAAGGACATCGAGACCATCAGAGCTGAGCGCGAGGAGGCTGGACTTACCATATCTGAGCTGCGGAAGCAACTCAACGATGCGCTCTCACGGGCCGAAGATGCTGAGAAGAGAGCCCAATCTGGAGCGCTGGAAGCAGAGAAGAGGGCCACTGCGTCGCTCAAGGAAGATATCGAGAACGTCCGGATAGAAAAGAAGCTTGCCGAAGATCGCGCGAAGAGGGAGCTTCAGGCGGCCAGGGACGAAGCGAAGAGCCAGCAAGAGAAAGCAAAGGTCGCCGAGCTTGAATTGCGCGGCGAGATTGCTGTAAGTTTTGATGGCCTGTTCGAAAACCAGACGGACACTGACCGAAACATAGAACCTGGAATCTAAGCTCGAACTGCTCCGCAGCCGCACAGAAGAGGCGTCATCATCCGCGACTGGCGACTCGCAAGCCAAGCTTCTGCGGCAGATTGAGACGCTGCAGACCCAGTACTCGCTGGCTTCCGAGAACTGGCAAGGTATCGAGACCACTTTGACGTCTCGTATGGCAGCTCTTGAGAAAGACCGCGATGAAACGGCAAAGCGCGAGTCTGACGTCCGACGAAAAGCAAGAGAAGTCAACTCGAAAGCACGTCGACTGGAAGACGAGCTGGAGAGCATCAACGAGCGAGCTAGGACGTTCGAACATGACTTGACAGAACAGCGTACCGCAGCTCAGAAGCTCCAAGCTAGGCTCACACAAGCAGAGACGGCAGCACAAGATGCGCGAGCCGAACTTGAACGAGAAAAGAAGGTGTGGGAAGTCGAGCTTCAACAACGGCTAGAGGACGAGAAGAACAAGTGGAAGGTGGAGATACAGACGCCGTCTCTGCTAGGTGATTCACATCATCTACGAACAGACTTACCTTCGATAGCGCAACGCCGGCATTCGCCCGACCCACTAGGCATATACAGCCGGCGACCGAACCCTCGCTCCATCTCCAGCGGCATGGACATGCCCATGATGTCCCCCATGGACCGCATGTTCGACGAAGCCTCGCGCCGCCCCTCTTCCTCCCGCCACAACAAATCCAGCAACGCAACTAAAGTGCGCACCCCCGAACTCGGCACCCCCCAACGACAAGACTCCATCCCATCAAGCATGTCCAACCTCAACGGCGGCCTGGAAACACCGTCAATCCACACCATCGACCACGACAACGACCCCTTTGAAAACACATCCTCCCCCCACCGCACAATAAACGACATGATCAGCGTCTCCACCGCCGGCGCCGGCCCCTCCGTTCAACTCGTCGAGCGCATGAGCGCCGCAGTCCGCCGCTTGGAATCTGAAAAAGCGACGCACAAAGAGGAACTTGCTCGTCTGACTGCCCAGCGCGACGAAGCTCGCGAAGAAGTTGTTAAGCTCATGCGTGAGGTTGATGAGACGAGGAAACAGGGGGAGAAGGTAGGGGATCTGGAAAAGAGGTTGGGTGAGATGGAGAATAGGGAGATGACGGCGTTGGAGATGCTGGGGGAGAAGACGGAGAGGGTTGAGGAGTTGGAGGGCGATGTGAGGGATTTGAAGAAGATTTATAGGGAGTTGGTTGATACGTTGAAGTGATGGGCGTAGCATACGGGTATCTGTTCAAGGTCAGCAAACAAACTTCCCAGGACTGCTCTAGGCCCCTAACTTTACCGAGACCAAAATGTGACTAGTCCGTCGAAATCCTCTTCAGTCAAGCTACCATCATCTACGGAAGCCTCTCTGCGTATTTTTGATCTCGAGCGAACGGCCTGTCTGAAGAGCCTTTTCGCTTGATTCTGATCCCCATGCTGGTAAAGGATCTTGGCCTTCAGGAAGGTCGTCCGAGCTATCTCCGCTTCGTAGGAGCGTGGAGCTATTTGCCACACTGCCAATGCATTGTCCACAAAGAGTCTTGGTATCACATCGTCAGTGCGGAACCAGTACAATATGTTCACTAGGAGTACTCACTTTGCGTTCTTGGTATCGCCGTGACGCAAGCAATGTTTCGCTACACGATGCGATACATCTGCGTAGCGGTGATGAGTCTTGCCAATCGTCTTGAGGTATTGCTCCAAGGTGCGTCGATGATACGACTCGCTTTCTTCCATTAGTTGCCGGGCAAGTACTGGGTCTTTGCTAGCCACAGCTTCGCTCTGCGACCACTTCACATTGCCCATACCATGCAAAAGCCTTCCACAGCTAGTTAAGTTGGCGTCAGTAAGCACCAAGTTGGAGATGGGTAATCTCGACTTACCGGAACGATTCCGTGTCGTCGATCATGCCGGTCAACTTCACTCTCCCTTCCAATCCGCGTAGCAAGGCCCGAATCGCACCCTCAAAGTCACTCTTCAGCCAGAATGCGCAGGCTAAATTGGCGAGCGGCAGGGTTGTCATTCCCAGGTTGAAGTCAGGAAGATTCTCATAAGCACTCAGGGCGTGCTCAAGCATCTTTATTGCTCCGTCGTAATCTTGTGTAGCAATGAGACTGACACCCCTCTGGTTGTAGGCGATTCCAAGTCGGATGGAAGGTATATTCGTTCTTTCATACGTCGCGATTGCGAGTTCGAGGCCTGCCTTCGCATGTTTTACGCAAAGCGAAAGGTCATTCGTCTCGTTGCCGGCCGAATTGAGGGCATAGTGTATGTCTAGGGTCAAGCCTGTGACGTCGTCTCCTTGGAGCATCCCACATAGCTCGAGCGCGAAGAGCAGGATGGGCTTCGCTAACTCTGCTTCACTTCGCTCCGTATCAAACCTATAGTGTCAGAACTTCAGAAGTTTGAGAGAAAGGGCTAGAAGCTTTCACTTACCAGCCTACCTCCGAAAGCAACTGTGCCATCTCGAGGTTGACTTGGATGAGACCTCCCTTGACTTTATGCTGGACATATTGCATGATAGATATGATATGAGGGTGGATGGCAATGCACTCTGGCCACCGTTTCGTGGTTGCTCGTTTGTCGAGAGGTACTTTAGGAAATGCCGCGTTCAACAACACAATGAGGTTGCTGAGTATCTGACTCTGTCTTTCGTCGGGCAGTTTGGCTCGCACGACATCCTGGAGTAATCGATGTATCCGAAGGTCGCCTTCCTGTTCGTTGTGATGCACCAAAGACGCACGCAAGAGCCCGCCTCTTGCTTTGAGCCATTCGCCTTTCTTTTGCGGCAAGTCCTGCATAAGCGCTAGAGAGCCACTGAAGTTGATGAAGATTCTTTCCTGGATACAATCTGGATCCAAGAATGCCAGGTACTCGAGGAACGTTCGAGCATCTTGCGGTAGCTTCTCCACCGCCCATATCGTTGCGAGATTTCCGCGGGCGGTTGGTCGAGGAAGGTCGACAGCCATTTCATGTAATTCGGGAAGTTCCAACTCGTCACTGTACCAAGCCAGGAACTCGTTGTGCTTCACGAATGTGCTTCTGATGATTCCCGCCATGTGAACAAGACCAAGTGGAATACCCCCAAGACGTTCTGCAATCTGCTTTGCACCTTGCGAATCGCCAGGCGCAAGCTTGAGAATAAAGCTAGTGGCTTCTTCCGTGGTGAATGGTTGGAGATCATAACCGACTGGACTTATCAAGTTCGTGGCGAGAGCGCTCTTGGACAACGGATTACGGCTTGTAATCAGGACTGACCCACTTCCAAACAATGGTTTCAACTCATCCAGGACCGCTGGATCGTCTGCGTTATCCAATATTAGTAGCCAAGTAGCTTCCGCTTGAGAGATACTGTCGCTCGAGGCATCAAGAAGCTTTCGCGGACTGGCAAGCCATCCGCGAGCAATACTTCGGTTAGCGAAATGGTTGATCGGCTCATTCGTATCAGCGAGATCCAGCGCCAACGCGATCTGACTGAGATCCTCTTCCAGCTTCGATTTCTCATCTGACCGGATCCAGAATATGGCATCAAACCGAGAACGACGTGAAAAGGCGTATTCAATGGCGGTCTCCGTTTTTCCTAGACCTCCTATGCCGCACAGTGCAAATACTTTGAGCTCTTTGTTGTCCGATGAAGAAGTGTAAAGCACATCAGGTAAACACACTTCATCGATCTTGGCGAGCACGTCCTGGCGCTCATGGAAAGTGTCGTTCTGCAAGTGACTTCCCACAGAAAAGCACGGCAGCCGGGCCTCTTTGCGCTGAATAGCGAGATCTCCTACGAGCGGTAGCAACTCCCAGTCCACTGTTGAGGAGCCTTGTTCCGCTTCTGCTGATTGCTGTCCAAGCCCATGCGATAAAGCTGAGTTCTGTCAGCTTCATACCCCAGAGCCGAACTATCCAGATGCTCTTACCTTTCGTCGCTGCCTCGTCTGGCTGACCCGAGTCTGGCGACCCTGGTAGATCGACTGTCTCTGCTGGTGAACTTGGCGACGAACGACCTTTAGGTAGATGTGATCAGCGTTGTATCCACTGTGATACACTCAACTTACTGTATGTGAGTCGCGCTTCAGCATTAGCCTGAGCGTTCTCCAAGATTCGTAGGAATAACTCCAGAAGCTCATTAGGCGCATCTTCATTTTCACCCACCAGTCGTACTAGCTCTTGATGACCGAGTGAAAGCCCTATCCTTTTCTCGTTCATGGCATTTGTTCTAGTGAGGCTTTCATCGAGCAGCTGTATCGGTATCTATTAGTTCACTATCTCCGCTCTCGAGAGTGTACGTACAACTGAAGACTTCCTCCTCTTCCACATCGATGAGGGTTTACCATGCTTTGTGGGCACAAGTTCGAAGACGGAAATGATGTCCACACGGAGATTGACGTCTTCAAATAGTGTAGCGTTCAATCTGAGACCGGATGTGTCCTCCAAAGAGCTGAGAAGTCTCCGCGGGATGTTGGGCATGCATGATCTGAGGACTTGCTTACTTCTCTCGGATAATACGGCGAGGTCTTGGGACTTGTGCGGTGTTCCCAAAAACAGGATCCCACTCAGCATATCAAGGAAATGTCGATGTTTCTGGTGTTGCTGATTTGCGACTACAAGCGCCTATATTCTGCGGTATCAATACGAGCAATGTTATTTGAGGATATGATGGACACGTAACTTGTTTCACGATTAATCCACCCAGGCTATGTGCAACAAACACTATTGGTCGGTTGCGATGCTATTTGATTGTTAGATTCTATGTGGTTGATACCGACTGGAGACTTGCCTCTGCCGCTGTCCGTACGTCTTGCATGCACGTGAGAAGCTTTTCTCCACAGTCGAGCAGACTTCGCCATGAGAAATTGTCGTCCAGCCGAAGTAAGTGTGTGAAAACTAGTATTCTTGCAGAAGTCTTAGGATTCTCCGGACAGTTCGTCCACGGTGGATTGATGACAGCCCACGAGGCTGGGTCGTGATTGCCAAAGCCTGGCACTAAGATCAGACTGAGGGGAAAGCGATACCGTTAGCACCATTACTATTCGAGACACATGCTTCTACTTACTCTACGGCGCCATGGCCCGACAGTACTTGGAACGACATCGCTGTACGTTGGAATGTGGAGCTGTGGGTCAGGATGCGGTTGCGTCACGGCGAGGCACCTGGGCATATAGCTATGCCGAATGCGTTACGACACGACGCCACGGTGGCCAGCTGCGCTCCCGCACGCATTTGGCCCTTTCCGGAGGTAGACCCCGCGCTACAATTCCAATGCGAATTGATTACACATGCGATATGAGCACGATTGGCTCGTGTCGAGAGAACGCATTTTGCCGCGTATAAGACGGCGCGTAGCCCGTAGGTTCTCCTGGGTTTTTCCATCAAGACTTCGCTATCGTGTTTGTTGGTGAAGTAATTCTATAGCCTCCGCGATGTTACAAGCAACTGCTTATTTCCTGAAGCGAGACCCACTATGGAACCAGGAGAAGCCGTACACTCTTCGTTATCAGCCCGCCGCTGACCTCCACCTCCCAAGAACTAATGCGATCCGTGAAACGCACGTCATCGACATACACGATATTCGCGGCGAGGATAAGCCGCCCGAGATGGACAAGCAAGGCTTCGCGGTGCTCCAACTGCAATCACAGCTTGAATACGTGGACTATTTCGACGAGGCAAAAGTGAGGCAGATATACTATGCAGAGTTGCAGTCCGCACTGAAAGACATGTTTGGCGCGACGTGGGTACACGTTCTGGAGCATACTCTTCGGCAACGTCATCCTGAGTTTCCAATCTCCACTGGGTCGGACTACAATTCATACCAGCCTACTCTGATGGCTCACATTGGTTCGTGGATCTAACCTACTCACCGTCATTGCTGATGTTACCAAGACTCGACTCATGACTATACCATGGAGGAGGTAATCAAGGCAAAGGGACCCGACGCGGCGCGGGAGAAAGGGAGATACATGCTAGTGAAGTATGCCTATCAATGGAACGGCCTGTGAACCTCTCCTGATGCGGGACAGTTCTTGGAAGCCTCTCAAAGGGCCGCTGTACGATTGGCCTCTCGCTTTATGCGATGCGAGCACGGCAAACGAGACTGAGGATTTTGTGCGTGGAGACATTGTGTACACGACGCATGTGACGGAGAACTACCGGCTACACCATTCGGAGCAGCAAAGGTGGTTTTACCTTTCTTGTCAGACGCCTTCAGAGCTTCTGATCTTCAAGCAGTCCGACTCGAAGGATGGAGCATGCCCAAGTATGTTCGAATAAGACAGCTCACCTTTCGAATACTGACGCTAGCGACAGGTGTACCTCACACGTCATTTGAAAATCCGGCAACGCCAGTATCGGAGCCACCGAGGGAAAGCATTGAGACACGCAACATAATATTCATTAGAGACACTTGAGCAGCGAGGTTTCTATTCTCTACGAGCACTAAACGGTCGTGAATCCCCCGAAGCTATGCAAATTGCTTCGACGCGCATCTTCGATGGCGGATCGAGTGATGAGAGCTGCCTGCAAGTAGGAACAAACTGTTGGAATAATGTTAGCCATGATCTTCTGCCAAAGAAACCACATACCAAATTACTCTGCTGAATCGTCCTTTGTTGGGGTAGGATGAATATTGCCAGCATTGCCATCCATCACAACAACTTGTCCTTTCGCGAACCCGTGCATCGTGCCTGAATCAACCTTCGCCGGGGGCCAGGAAGCTTTCCAAGGTTGCTGTTTTGGACCGTTGGCACAAGGCATATCTCTTCAATGTCAGTTTTGAAGGGATCAATGCAGCACGACGCCTCACTGTTGAATTGTACTTTGTTTATGGAATTGATGTTTTGTGAAGAATATTTGGGATGCAGGACAGATGAATAGCGGATTTTGAAAGTAGGGCAGACCACCTCTTGTTCAGTGAGGGGACTGTCACTACCCGCGATTCCACCAAAAGGAACGCGTGTGACACCTACCCCGCTCTGAGGCGCATAGATCAGGCCAATAGGATATGTTGTAGCAGTACTTTCTCACAGCCTGATGTATCCAATATCGCAGTGCATGTGATTGCGGTCTCCATGACCAATTATGCCGTTCATTGCGGCCCCAGACACCGTTGCTGATACCTTCCTGCATACCAAATTGGTCCCACTTGAGCGTGCTGCATCTGCACAATCGACGTTGTCAAATCATCGCCGCTGGTCATGGAAACGCCCCCAATATGACCGGCACACCACCGCCCAGGCTATTCGCGCGACAAAGTGTTATGCAATACGTTCTGTCGCTGAAGACAGGCCGTCAACGCACCAAGACCGCTCAGAACCGCAGTCAAAACGAAGACTCGCTGTATCGCATGCATATAAGCGGTTTTGACGGGAGGAATGAGCGTCGGATCAAGTCGTGATATCTCATCGAAACTCATGCGGATGCGTTCCACTAGTTCATCGACATTGTGATAGTGCTCCAAATTGCGACGAAGAAGGTCCCGTAAAGCATTCTGGAAGACTGCTGACGATACCGTCAGGCCGAGTGAAGAGCCGACTGACCGGAAGGCAAACGAGGCAGATGTGATAGCCGCTTGTTGAGCGCTCTTCGCAGAGCTTATCAAGGCAAGCAATGTGGTGACCAGCATGATACCAAAGCCTAGACCGTATATGCCAAGTGCTACCATGACATAGCCTTGGGGCGTTTGCCATCCGAGGAAGAGCAACATGACAGATGCGGCGACGAGCAACACATGTCCTAGTATGTTGAGCTGTACGTATTTTCCAGTGTAACGCACGGTGATTCCGGTCGTAAGAGCGCCCAGAGCGGTTCCAGCGCTATGAGGTACGAAACGAAGGCCCGTTGACATTGGGGATAGGCCAAGTAGCTGGAGGTAGATAGGTATGTAGTACATGATGCCAAAGGATGCCATGTAGGTGAGCAGGTACGTGGCGCAAGCTGAAGCTATGGTTCGATCCGTCATCAAGCGGAGCGGAATGACGGGTTCAGTAGCGATGCGTAACTCGTACCACATGAAGACACCCAAAAGGATAGTACCAGCTACCAGTGTCGTGATCACCAGCGCATGAGACCAGGGCAAAATGTTTCCACCGGTGTTCACCGCGAGTAGAAGTAGTACTAGGCCGAAAGTAAGGGTCGTGGAGCCAACGAAGTCAACTCTACGCCATGCGTGCGTTTCAGTGCTCTTGACGGGTACCTGGACGAATATGCTGACGAGTATGGTGCCTAAAACGAGGAAGGGGAGCTGAACCAGGAAAGCGCTTTTCCAGCCGATGATGTGATCCAACCACCCTCCTAGCAAGCCGCCCAGACCTGCTCCAGCGCCCATGGCGATGTTATTGATGCCTTGCACGACGCCCCGTTTTCGAAGTGGTACCAGATCTGACCCGACAAACGTTGATATTGCGACCATGGCTCCTCCACCAGCTCCCGCAACTGCACGTCCAAGTATGAAGACCCACTCATGTTGAGCTATGCCGCATAGCAACGTGCCGATGCCGAACAGTATATTACATACGAGCAGGCCAGCGCGTCGGCCAAAGATGTCTGTCAGGCGGCCACTGATCGGCTGCGTTGCCGCGGTCGCAACGAGAAAAGAGGTTCCGAGCCACGAGAGGGTTTTGAGTGAGGAGAAGGAGTCGGAGATCGGGGCAGAAAGTGTTGCGACGATGGTGGAATCTGGGATAGGAGTCAGCTAGTGCCCGCCGCTAAACGTCTTGAGGTTAACGATCGTACCCAACGCAGTAAGGACGACACCAATCTGAGCGCATTAGTAGAACTCTATGTGAAGCTGCCAGCACGGGTGTAGAATTTGTAACACTTACCCAGATGCTCCCTAAAACTAAAGCTAGCTGTCTGTTAGTGGGCTCTACGATTGCGGTGTCCGCGACGGGTGGAAGGAGTGGTTGGGACTCGGCCTGTTGATTCCCCTCGGACATGTTGCGCGATCTGGGTGTAGGAGACGAGGGAGGGGGGTGCCTGAGTAGGGCTGTCAGGTATGTGGCTTGGGGCTGAAAAATCGCGACGTCACAGAACCATAAGTGGTTAGCAAGCTCTGCATCGAAATCCCAACAATTTTGCTTGCGCAACACAGCAAAAGAAGTAATAAACGACAATACTTTCGGCGCACGACGCAGACTCCCCGCTTGTTATGCATAAAGCGCCTTTCGGCGTTCCAGCCTTGCAGGTTTCCAAAGGCTGCTACCTAGGTACTATCGAACATCGACGATCCCGTAGAAACGCGCATAGGTCTGTTGGAGGCTTTCAGGAAATCTCTCATAAGAGCAACGAGTGCTAGGTCAGTACCTACAGCAGCATAAGTCAACTTTACCTTCACCAGTCGATTCAGAAGAAAAAGAACTCACCAGGATTTCCTACTACCGATATCGCAATTGGGAGCTTTTCCTCGCGCTCACTCACCCGAGATTCATACAGGAATTCTGCAACTACACGGGCTTATCAGTCCAGCCTCTCATACTACAGACACGTGACCTACTTGGAACGACAATCTCGGGAGCCTCGATTGTGGGTGAGATATACAGCGCATCGAACGCGTTCTGCTTGCTCGGCGGCTCTGTCTTCCGATCTCTGTAGTTTGTTGCAACTTCAGAGACTGGCAGTATCATCAGGGTGTCGTATCTGTCCGCTTGGAACACTTCAGAGAGTAGCCAGTCTCTGTAAGTGTCGAGGCGAGCCACAGCATCCTCGTTCTCTTCTCTCGTTACTGTTTTGGCGACATCCCTAGCGTGAAGTTAGATCATGTCAATATCCGAAACAACGATGCGCACCATCTCCACTGTGTGTATTCGTTGGCGTAAGGTTCCTTCTGGAACTCGCGCCTGTACGTTTCGCGGAATTCGTCGAAGCTATGATAGAAGTCGTACAAAAAGGTTCTTGTGGCGACCTAGGGCACGTCAGCATCGATATCACGACAACTCAATGCAGCCAGACCTCGCTCAAATAGCCATCTAGTGAATCTTCATCCACGGATTCTGGGTGCGACCTTTCCCATTCCAGTGATAAGTCGATCTCCGTGACTGGCGCTTGCAGATAGTCGCTGAAATCCTTGACGAAGCTCTTCACGTGCTGCATCTGTACTTCATTATCGACTGGGAAGAGGTCCACCGGATATAGAAGCCTTTTCGGCATCTAATCATGATCAGAAACAGCCGACGGTATGATTGCAACCCGCCCAGATTAAACTCACATTAGCCTTGGGTTTTGCGATGTCGCAATTGTCGAGCCATACTTGGAGTATGGTATCCAGCTTGTTGATATCGCGAGCGAAGATACATTGCGTGTCGAAGCGACTGACGATCAGCGAACCCATCGCATCAATCACGCAATGGTATGAACTTACTCGAAAGTAGGCACCATTCCTTCGAGTGGCAGACGTCCTTTAGAAAGGCGCAGTGCAAACACGCCGTTCACAAATGCTGGGCGACGCCCGCTTCCTGTAGCTACTATGCTTTAGGGTCGAATCTTCCGCTGAGACTTTGACTTACTATCAGATCCAAGGGTGAAGTCCAACCACGCGTAAGACGCAAGGCCCGCTGCGCTTCCGCTGCTACTGCCAGCCGGTGATTGATAGCCGTCTCCGCGGGGGTTGAACGGTGCTTGGTAGTCTATGGCCTCAGTCGGCTCTTCACGTCCAATAAAGGAACTCAACTTTAGCATCCCGACCAGAGTACAACCTTCGCTTAACAATCTCGTGATGCATGGAGCGGTCACTTCCGCTCGTTTCGAGACCGCATAGTACGGTCGGCTGCAGAGTGAAGTTTTCAAGCCAGCGACGGAGTACATGTCTTTTACTGCGAATCTCATACCGCTCAGTCGCAAGTCCGATCCTTGCTCAGTCAGATTGAGAGCTCTCGCTCGTGACGGTATGGCAACGCTCAGCGTCTGATATTGGTCGCTACACAGCCGCAAATTCTCATATCTGCTTGGTACAAGGTTAGTACATCATCCGTTAGAATGCGGAGTACACTTCACTTTTCTTCTCGACCTGGATGAATTGCGGCCATAAAAGCACCATTTGTATCATCATATAGTCTAGCCACCTTCCAGAGGTCGTTACCATGCAGCAAGTGAGGACCAGTTTCAATGTCACAGCCACTTTGCAAGGTCGCAAGCGTGAGAGTCTGTAGCCCTCGAGCGTTCAGCGCAGCTGCGACCCCGACGTCGAGTTCCGGGCTTGAGCGGCCGTGAGATGCGACCACAACATGTTGAAGGAAGCTTGAGCTGGTCACGTCATCTTCGGCCTGGACTTCCTCTAATTGCTGTATGATTTGCGGGAAATTCAGAGGCTGTGTTGCTGGGATCTTCAAGAGAAAGCAGGGCTGGAATTGCGCATCTTGTGGAGGCGGTGCATTCTCGAAAGTCAGTCTCCAGTGGCTCTGGGACCAAATGGCGTACGATGTCGTGTCGAAAGTCAGATTAGGGCTGACGGGATGGGGTTTTTGCGTTTCAGCTGTGTGTAATAGAGCCTCCCAAACTTGGAAGTTCATGCTGCTAGCGCGCGCTTTCGATGCCGATGCGCCCATTGCGAATTTCACATGTGGGGTGGTAAGAAATAGGTTGGAGGTGGTAGGAGAGCGTGTGTTTGGGGGTAGGTGGGCTGTGTAATGATCCGATTGCCCCAGCCACGACTCTCGCTACACCCACGTAACAGGCTCGTACCGTCATCAGCCGTGCGACGTATTCTACAAATGAGTTCCTGCCGCGTCTTCTGTACAGCAATGGAAAGCAAACCGCTACTATGGCGACTACACCGCTGCCATCCCCATCTCTTCCTGCAATCACCGATTCGGACGACGCTACTACAGCCGAACAGAAGTATGCCAGTAAGGCTGTCGCACGATCCAAGGCAGGCGGCAGCCTCTACTCCGGAACGCACTACCAATACATTTCGGAGCTACTGTTTTCGCAGTATCAGCGCTATGCAAACGAAGAACACAAGCGTAGCCAACCTGACACAGGGTCCCAAAGCTACGTTCACGCGCTAGTTCTATCTCGTAACAGCGAGATCAAACGAGAAGCTTTTACCTCTGTCCAACACTTCAGACAGTGGTGTCAAGATTATGCATCTGGTCATGGCTCGTCTCGAGTAGTCTTTCTACATGGACATGCGTCACGACAGTGGCTTAACGCGATAGGGAGTGCCCTCAAGATCGAGTACGAATTTTGGTATCGCCACCTCATCTTCCGATCGTGCATCAGCCGACCAGATTATGGCTCTTTGCCCAATTTACCTTCAAGCACAGGTCCTTTGCTCCGGCTCCCCGTTTACACTGTGGGGTACAAGCGCAGGAAAGGACAAACAGGACAGCAGCAGCTCGACAAGAGGCGAGCTACGAGTCGTTCGTTAATGCAAACATACAAAGACATGTTAGCAAAGTCGGAGGAGAAATGGGCGATGGGTGATTCCATGGTTAGAGAGTTCGATGTCTTGGATGACGATCACTGGTGTTTGGAACAGCAAGTATCAGTATCTTTGAGCAAGTCCAAGGGCGAGTGGAGTCGTGAGTGCCAGGCAATCCTTCTTAGAGTCTTAAGAGTACTAAATTTGTACCCAGTGCTTCTCTGGCTCGACAACGGTCGGGATCTAGGCACAAGCCCGGGCGGTCCATGGTCATCAGCGCACTTTGCCCCTGACGAACTTTTCCCCGCCATCCAATTCGAACAACACGACCGCTCAAATGGCACATCCTCAAGCAAGCCCGCTCGATCGAATACCACAGGAGCACCAGACTCTACATTCTTCCAGTCCATCTCATGCTTACCAGCTGAGTATACCAAGCGGCTCAATACCGAACTTGCAAGAACAGACGCGTTCTATGCTGTCAGTCCTCTCATGAGGTTCGCCGCAACTACGCAGAAACAAGTACTCAACATTGTCGAAGGTATCATTTTGAAGGAGATGGACCCTGCAGTATTCTTGGATCAAGAGACTCCCTCGATGGCCAACCTTCTTCATCTCGAGCGTCTACTGGGTCGCCATATTGACGCTTTGAAAGAGACAAGAGGCATCATTGCATGTCGTGGTGGACATGCCTGGCCAACCGCAAGCGAGAAGTCCCAGATCAAGGAGGCCAAGAAATCAAGAGAGCAATTAGAAGGAGATTTCGACCATCTGCTTGAGAGGGCGAAACTATTGAAGGACCAATGTACGCATGGTCTCAGCATCATCATGACCAACACAAGCATTCGAGAAAACCAGCGAGCAATGTTGCAGCAGCAGGGCGTAATTCGGCTGACGCGTTTGGCTTTTATCTTCATTCCTGCGACATATGTCGCAGGTTTGTTCGGGATGAACGTTCGGGAGCTCGATGGTAATACCGTCAGTATATGGGTGTACTTCGTTGCCACCGTTCCTCTGCTCTTGGTGTCTTATCTCTTTCTGACCGTCGACGTGTTGGACTTGGGACGAAAATCTTGGGAAGCTTTGAGTCGATTTGCTAGCCTGGGTTTACGGTCGGGCAGACATGGACAAGCCAGCCAAACCGAGTCGGCCAGCGCAAAGACAAGCAGCTCAACAATCGTTTGAATGAGCATGCGAAACGTATTTGTACCATTGTACTACCAGAAAATGTCATCAACGCGATATCGTACAAGCCATGTCAAGGCAAAGATTGTATACATGCCATTCGTTCGTTCATCTCCCAGGGGTATTCAATTCTCCGCTTCTCATCGTATCGTAAGATTGCATATACACAGCAGCCGACAACATCACTCTCCTCCGGTCCATGGACACAACATCGGTATACGCGTCTTCTACAAGAAGTATTCTCCGCGACCTCCACGACCCGCGGGGACGGCGCGCTTATGATCTGGAACCGCAGAGAAGATTTGGAACTCGGGCTTGAGGTCCTCGCCTAGGTTCATGATGGAGGCGACGTTTCCGCAGCGGTAGCAGTAGTTGGGTGCGGACCAAACGGTGACAACGTCTTTGTCTTTGAAGTGGTATTTGTAGCCTTCGTTGACTAATTGATGGGCGCGTGCGATGAGTTGGAGACCGTTTACGTGGTTGAACTGCAACAGTCAGCGATGGGGTAATGGTAGAAGGAAGATGAATGCATACCTCTGAAGACACCTTGTCTCCAAAAAGCCAGCCGGCTCCTCGGGGTGAGACAGCCCACGTGTCGACATCTTCCGGATCACTCCATACGAGATCACAGAAGGCTCCCTCGTGAGGGATTTCTTGGGCTCGCGCAACAACGCGGATCTGGTCTAGTGTTCTGATTTCCGGACTTAGACCGCCGTGTACGCAGAGCACCTTTCCGTCGACGATAGCGGCTAGGGCAAGGAAATCGAAGACTTGGCAGCAGGCCTTCCATACCGAAGCGTTGCCGTATTTGGTCTGACATTCCTCGTAGAAACCGTAGACTTGGGTGATTTGTCTCGACTCGTGGTTTCCGCGGACGAGAGTGACGCGGTCAGGGAATCTATTTCAATTAGTACCGTTAATGTAGTTCTGTGTGCCAGTTGACCTACTTCGCCTTCAAGCACATGAGAAGGGTAAAGGTCTCCAGACTGAAGTATCCTCGGTCGACAAAGTCACCCAAGAAGATGAAGTTCTGCTGGCCATTTCCACCCACTGTGTTCTTGGTAGAGTCTGCGTCCGATGCCGAGCCAAGACTTCGCCTGTCGTGAACGCTCCTGCTTCGGCCGCGTTCCTCCTCCTCTTCGTCGTCGCCCTCTTCATCGCCATCGCCGCCAGGAGGACTTGTTGGCCCAGTGTAGTTGGGATCGCGCTGGAATCTTCTCTTCATCTTGCGCTTGACCTTGGGGTCTGTTATGCTGGTAGGAGGCTCGAGATCGGCGGGGTTGATTGTGCTTGGTAATGTGACTGGCGGTGCGAGGGGCGCGGCAGGGGAGTCGTTGGGCATGCCGCCAGCGACACGGAAGAGCTCGAGGAGATCGTAGAATTGGCCGTGGATATCTCCGCATACTGTGACGGGTGTTCGTACAGGTTGGATGTTGGATTCTGGTAGACGTAGGTTAGTCTTATATATGGATATAGATATCATGCCGCACAATAGGCATGCTTCTCCTCCCTTGCGTGGATCATGCGGCATTGTTTCACTCACCCTCCATCAGACATTCCTTGACAATTTCACATAGTCGCTTCATGTCGGCCTCGGGCAGGTACTTGCATTGCTTGGCCTGCTCCAGCCATTCATCCGGCCCTGCGCCCTTTGCGAGGCGCGCGGGCCCTGGCTGTGGTACGTCGCTATCTTTGCCCATTTTTCAGTCGTGCTCTAGCTCAGAATGAATAGGGGAAGCTCGATGCGATGCGTTTAGGTCGGGATAGGCGACAATGGCGGCGGGAGGGAGGCGGGTCGTGTGCCGATGGGGGTGCTGAGGGATGCGCTATAGGGTATCATGGGTCAGCGTGGCTCGCAGTGATAGTGTGCGCAGTCAGCGGCAATTCGCTGCGTCGTGGGCAGCGCGAGGTTCGGGGTATTGAGGATATATCGGCGTGGTTGAGGTGTAGTCGAGACGCGGGCGCCGGTGGGGCAGCTGCCGCCCCTCGGCGCTTGCCGTTGCGCCTGCCCTCGCCCACTGTCTCGTGAAGGCGCGCCCGTTGTCGCTGCGTCATTGCCGCAACTCTCACCAAAACAATCGCCGTGTTTGGTACTGCCTTCTCGAGTGGCCATTCAATGTCCTCATCTACGAACCGGCGCTCCCTCCTCCACCTCACCTCTGCCCAGCGACACGCGCGATAAATTCACCCGGCACAGGCTCTTGAATACGACTACAACCACGGTATATACTATGTTTGTGTATGACAAACAACCATCACTAACAGCTAACTATAGAGAAGAAACATCTACTCGAGCATACCGACTGTACCCACAAACGAGCATCATCGCGCTCTCATGGCCCCTCCGAACAACCCCAACGGCGTCCTGCCAGTCACACTTCTCCAGAAGAACGCCCCGGCCCAGTCGCCCCGTGGACCCAAAGCAGCCCAGCCTCGCCTGAAGCTGATATGTCGGCGACTTCCTCCTGGTCTTACCAAGACCGAGTTCATAGAGGCCCTAGGCGACGAGTGGAAGCTTGGTGCTGGCAAGATCGATTGGATGAATTACAGAAAGGGCAAGATTTCTACTGAGTACTCTTACCTTCTTGTCTTTTAGAGACGGCCTATTGACCCCCTCAGTGCCGCCAAACCCTCCAAGCCAGCGCGCGCATACATCCACGTTACCAAGCAGGACCACGTCAAGGCCCTCGGCGACCACGTGCGCGCCATTACCTTCCACGATGCCACCAAGTCATGGCAGGACCCCGCCCTCGTCGGCCCGCCTACGCTCGAATACGCTCCGTACCCGAAGATGCCTGGTGGCCGCCGTAGGAACGACAACCGCCAGGGCACCATCGATCAGGATCAGGAATTCAAGGACTTCCTCGAGAGCCTCACCAACCCCATCACCAAGCCCCCGGCCGCCGACAATGAGGGTCAGAAGGAGAAGGTCAAAACCACTCCTCTGATCGAAGCGCTCCGGGAAAAGAAGGCTAACAGGGAGAAGCCGAGCGCAAAGGCAAATCGAGGTCGTGGAGAAGGCAAGGATGATGGTGAGAAGAAGATACTCGCCAAGCCAGGCAAAGAGAACGCCCTAAACTCGGGAGATAAGAATCGCCGCATAAGCAAGGCTGACAAGGCTCAAGCCTCTAAGGAGGCTGTCAAGATCCTTAACAAGGAAGCGTCATCCTCCAAATCTGCCTCAGCCTCGGCGGACAAGACCTCTGCCAGCCCAGCACCGGAGCGCAAGCGTGGTAACGTCGCACTCGCAAAGTCGATGCTGCAGCGTGACCTCGGTGTAGGACCTGTCCCAACTCGTCGACGTGGAACGAAGCGCGAGGTTGGTACGCCTGCGCCCGAGTCCAATGCGCAAGCAAAGGAGACCAAGGCAGTCGAGGAAAAGGCCAAAGACTCGCCTGCTTCACAACCAGCAGCAGCAACTCCGGACAAGAATGCGCAGGCAAGCAGGAAGGAACGCCCGACTCGAGCAGAACGCCGCGCTTTCAAGGCCAATCAGGGCGACAAGCCCAACGACAAGGCTACTGCCAGCGATGTAAAGCCCCAGACGCCGTTGAAGACTCCTGCGCCGCAAATCTTGAAGAAGCCTCAGGCTCAGACTCCGACGGCTCCCAAGGGTCCAGCTGCTTCACGAGCTCCACCCACCGAGCCTGCCGCAGCCAGAAACAGCCCCGCTCCTACACAGTCGCACTCTACTCCAGCAAAGGCCGATGCGGGACCCGCCCAGGCGCACAACAATGCCCCCAAAGCAGCACCAGCTCAACCTGTGCCCGCACCCACGAGCAAGCAAGCGTTCCTGAAGCATGCCAATCCCAGCCAGGGTATCACCGAGCCCCTCATCGAAGAAGTCATGAAGACCTTTGGAGGTATTGACAAAGTCGAGATTGACAAGCGTAAGGGCTTCGCCTATGTCGACTTTGCCGAGCCGGATGGTCTCAAGAAAGCCATGGCCGCCAGCCCCATCAAGATCGCCCAAGGCGCTGTTCAGGTTCTTGAACGGAAAGAAAAGGTCGCCAGAGCTCCTCGCTTCAACGGTCCACCGACCGGGCCTGCTCGTGGCGGCGCTCGTGGCAACTTTGCACCTCGTGGAGGACGTGGTGGTCGTGGAGGTGCTAGAGGCGGCGCACATGCTGGTCCTGTTCCCGCTGCGGGTGCTGGCGATGCTGCCTCGACTGCCCCAGCTGCCGTTGCTCCCGCTCCTGCACCTGTCGCCAATACCAACACCGCTACGTGAACGGAACATGCATATCCACGTGACAGTGACGAGACATCAGCATTTCGACGACATCCTAACGAATACGGGCGCCTTCTATACCGCAGTCCACACAACATAGATTGAGATGACATATCTCTATGCTAGGTCTTCAACTTGCATAGCCTTACAATCATCGATATCGGGGACCTCAGCATATCGGATATGCACATGATGAGACATACGTTTGGTGCCACGGATCAGTTGACCAAGAGGCACGGCGATATGGTTTGGATGTATGCGATACCCCATCTACTACATGGATATGAGTACGAGGCGATGGGATGTACGTCGGGGGTCAGCATGACAGGAGGTTAGCGAAGTAGTAGATACATCAACAAGATGCATGTATCTATTCACTTGGTATTTCCTTCAACACTTATCCCGTGCAAGATGTAGAGAGTGGATAGAGTTAGATTAGACTGAAATAGACTAAAGATGTCCTTATTAATCCTACTCTCGTACCCTGACGATAAAAGAGTGTGTTAAAGAGAAAGAGCGAGCTTTTGGTGCCGTGAGGCGCTTATCTTTGGTATATTGAGTAGGAAACAACGCGCGCGGTAATCAGTGGCTGAGCAATTTCGTGGCAACAGTGATGTTGTATAGACATGGTGGTGGGGTTGAGTCGCTTTGGGCAAAAGTACGGTGCGAGAACGATAGCAGGGCAGAGCAGAGCAGAGCAGAGCAGAGCAGAGCAGCAAAGGACAGACGTAGCAGGCCAAGGTAAGCAAGAAAGCGCAATCATGAAGCA